GTAAATAAATAAATAAATAAATAAATAAATAAATAAATAAATAAATAAATAAATAAATATAAATGTATTCCAATCTGCCCCACCCAGTTGCTTTGCTCTTATTGTTCTTTTTATTTATATCCAAAACCATCCTATGATTACCCGGGGCACTTCCTTGCAGGGTTTCACGAGCAAACCAAGCTCCATTTCTTTGCCAGATGTGCCCGGGTTCAGCAGGGAGAAGAGAGAATGCCAAATCTTGAGCACATGACAGAAGGTCAGGATGATAAGCAAAGGACCGTGAACAAAGGCAGCCCTTCGGGGTGGGCGGGGTGGGGTGGGGAGAGTCCTTTGGTTAACAAGATGCCTTTTCAGCCAGGTTGCAAAGAGGCAGATGTCTGAATCCAGGTGTTGATTCTGCATTTATTATCAGTTGGACATTTAAACTGACCCTTTTGAATGCTGTGGTCTCCCTGTCATCTTTCGCAGCCTCCCCCATCAATACACATTAAAATCGAATGGACCTAAATTTATGAGCCAAGAGAATTCCCCTGACCATCGCTGTTCATTGACCTTCTTCCTTGGGTTGGAAATATCTCACAGAAGAAACCAAACATCGTTATTTTACTACTGGTACCATGATCCAAGCTGGTTCCCTAACTGGGCACCCCATCACATTTCTCCAGAGGCAACAGAATCCTTTACCGAAAAGAAAAGAAAAGAAAAGAGATGCTGAGCATGTGGGTAATTATTTTAGGAAGGCACAGCAACGGTATGGTCTTCCTTCTCAGCGGAAAGCAGGATGCAACCTCTGCCAAAGCGCTCTCCCCCTTTTTTTGACAAGCGGAGATAATTCCAGTCAATTACTGCTATTTACGAATGGCAATGAGACACAGCAGCCAACCCACTTTTACTGTTTAAACATTACGGTTTCACCTGATCTACCCTGCAAACATCGCATGCTGATTCTGAAAAGATCAGGGCTTAAAAAAAAAAACAGAACAGGAAAAGCCAAACGGCACAGCGTTTCAAAACAAACAAGACAGGCAGAGGCCATGTGTCCTCACTCACCTTAGCTGGTGGACGGTCCTGGTGAGCTTGAGAGAGAAAGTGGTCCTTGTGAACAGAGTTCCCCTAACCTTATCCTTCGCTCTCCTTTTTCTCTCGGAGTTTTTATAGTCTCAGATGAACCCTTGGCACTCCATCCCCCTGCCTCTGTTCCTTCTTACATCATGTCTAAGATTTTCCACTGCTCCTTGTCTTGAAGCGCCCTCCCTTCCTCCCCCTCGGCACATTCTCACTTCTTTTGCTGTATTTATTGCTCTGATCAAGGTGATGAGATTATCGTGAAAGAAGAACACGAGGACCGCCTGGCTGGGACGCTGCCTGAACACTGAGTCCAGAGCGCTGTCCCGGGGAGAGGCCTCAAGATGCCTCTTCCAGGAAGGTTCACGGAGATTGCCTCCCCCGTGATTCTCAAAACTTCTCAAAAAAGGACCAAAAACCAAGGAGGGGGGGGGCTTTTGAGACCAACCTAAATCTCAATGTCCACCATCATCATTTTGAAGCTTGCAAGCTCTTTTGGCTTTCTATGCACAACCGAGCACTGGGAGTGGGCTGAAAATTCCTTGCCAGAATCCCACATGAATCCTTTCACAGAGGCATGCTTCCCCTGTTTTTGACCACAAAGACACTACTATCAACTTAGGTGTGTTGCTTGCATTCTCCTCTCTCTCTCTCTCTCTCTCTCTCTTCTCAAGGAGAAGACAGGACCCCAGTCAGAATGCCTTCCATTTAAAAGCAGCCTTCCAGTTAGATTATGCATCCATCAGTCTCGAGAGACGAGGTCGAGAGACGATGGTAACATGCTCTGAATAGAGGACTTGGGACAGCATCTAGTGTGGCTGAGAAGCCCAGTTCAAGAGTAACACAATCCCTTCCACACTGAAGACAAATACAAGCTGTCCCCTGTCCAGCTCCCTGATTTGGCTCGTTTCAGGACTGCCTCTTTGCCTTGGCCTGCTGGACAAGGGTCTCTTCAAATTGGGAGAGGCTGTGATGCACTGCCTGCCTCCAGGCTGAACGGTCAGATGTCAAGGTTTCCCATCTGTTGAGGTCCTTTCCTAAGGCCTTCAGATCCCGCTGGCAGATCTCCTTGTATCGCAGCTGGGGTCTCCCTCTGGGACAATTTCCCTGCACTCATTCTCCACACAGGAGATCTTTTGGAATCCGGCCGTCAACCATTCTCACAACATGCCTTTTAGTACTGGCAAAATAAAACAATTTGTCATCCCCCCACCCCTAGAATCCATTGGGTTGTGCTTTCTGTAAAAGGGACACAAATTTTTTGTGGTAGATGAATTACATGCTTGAAAGAGGCCCCTGGCCATAGATTTCTGTATGTGGGTTCGTGTTATTTATTTCAGAGAAGAACTGAGATGGGGTGGGTGATGCTCCATGCCTACATTGAAGTTCATCATCTATAGGTCACACCAGGAAGCACCATTTCATCAACTGTCGAAAACACCTTGTTTGTCAAAGCAGGACCTTGCACACCTCCCCAACTGGGCGGATCAGCTTGGTCGTTTCTGTAGTGGGTCACTTGGAAGCGAACTTGAGCTTTGTTGGCAACTGTGGTTGCTTCTTCACAAATATCTTTCGCAAACCATACCCGTGAGGTACCAATTATAATAAGCAAGGCAGAGTTTCACCTTATAGGATCAGGGAAAGATCTTACAGTCATTTCAGTGACTGTGCATCAGCACCGGGGAAGGTTATTTCTTGAAACTACCACTTTAAACCAGTACGGCTACCATAATAATCTCCTGCCCGTGGCTCTGGAGGAGGGTACTCCGTCGCCATCCTTCACGAAGAAAAGAGAGCTCCCTTTCAAGAGGAGGAGCAGAGTGCTGCCTGAGCTAGGTGGGAGAAGCTTTCCCTCAACATCTAACCATCGTTTGGGGCTCAGAAACCTTGGGTGGATCCAGGGAAGGAAACTTGAAAGAAGACAAGGATAAGGAAGTAAACCTGATGTGAGGAGAACATTGAAACATCCCGTGCTCTTTTATAGCTACTGGATGGCTGTGCAGAGCTTGGAACTAATTCATCACAAAAACCCATCTAGTTCCTTGCGTTTAATTCCTTTCCCCCCCCCCAGGAACAGCAATATAATTCCACTGATTTTGTACTTTAACTGTATGTCAATAGCTGTTCGTGGAGGGATGGTTAGTCCCGTCCGTAGTGAGGGCTCTCAAGAGTCCAACCTAGTCCAAGCCCCTAGGAAACAAGGAAACCATGGCAAAATCCAGAGGCCAGCTCCCACTGTGCCCCTTCCTGCTGCTTGATGCTCTGCAAGAGAGGCTTAGTCCATGATGACCCTGAAAGGAGGAAAGGGTGCCTTCCCTTACAGGCCAGTGGCTTGTAGCATTCTTGGTGGTGGAGCCTAAGTTTGGGAGTTCAATTCTTCACCGTGCCTTCCTGGGGCAAGAGCCAACCTGAGTGGCCTTGGGCCAGCTGCACAGGAATCCCAGGGCATGCACGCACGCACGCACGCACGCACGCGCGCGCGCGCGCACACACACACACACACACACACACTCACACACACACACACACACACACACTCACACACACACACACACACACACACTCACACACACACACACACACACACACCCCAGAAGAAGGGAACAGGTAAACCGCTTCTGAGTCTTCTCTACCTGGAAAACCCTGAGAAGGGTTACCCTAAGTTAGAATTGATTTGATGGCACATGATTACAAAGCTGCCTAGGTAGCCCGGTGGTTTAGGTCTCTGGCTGCAGAGCTAGAAGTTGGCAGTTCGATTCCTCTCTGTGCCTCCTGGGAGAAAGAGCTGGCCTGGGAGGCCTTGCTTGGGCCAGCTGCACACGGAACCAGGGGACCCGGAAAAAAGAGACTGAGAAACCACTTCCAAGTCTCTTCTCCATCTGGAAAGCCCCGGAAAAGGGTTGCCATAATTCAGAAGTAACGTGACAGCACATGGTTATTTTTATTTAGACGATGAATCTCATTTTCAATCCTGAGGGGGAAAAAAGGATAGTACTTTAATGGTTAACTTTAAAATTGCTATGTGCAAAACAGTGACTTTTAAGATGGTAATGAGGATGATAAACTTAGCTACTTTTGAGGACTTGGAAACCAGAGCTGTAGCGAATGACTTTTTAAGCGTGGCCTTTGCCAGCTCTGGTGGTCATGGACGTTCCCTGCGCTGTGAGGGTTTCCCCCCCCCTGTCCAATTGTCTGCTCAGACATGCTCAAATGTTAATGCAGCTACAACATTTCACCCTGCAGACTCCGCACAGAGTGAAAATAAATTTTGCTTCGGAAGGAAAAGACCATGAAACAAGATCATTGCCGGTTCTGTGGTTAAAGCTGCCATCTGTCAAGGGAGATTTCCTTTGGGGGTGGTGGCTGTCACTAAACATGACGCCACACGACAGCAAATCCTTTGGAAAGCTCATTTCTGCTTGGTGTTTCTTGTAGGAATAAGGAGCACCTTCATCCTCTTTCTCCCCATCCCTGTCACCCTAGGAAGCTGGGAAAAAAATAGCCAAAGCATCAAAGCCACGCTCAAAACTTGGGAACAAAATAGATTCACTGGAACCAGGAGCTTTGCATGTAGAATGCCCTGGCCTGTTTATAGACATCTGCTAGTGCTATTGCATCTTCTCTTACTTTTCTTACAGTGGAAGTAAAGAACAGATTTAAGGAACTTGATTTGGTGGACAGAGTGCCTGAAGAACTTTGGATAGAGGCTCGTAACATTGTCCAGGAGGCAGCAACAAAAACCATCCCAAAGAAAAGGAAATGCAAGAAAGCAAAGTGGCTGTCCAACG